CCCCGACAACATGTGCTGTTTTGAGTAAGTTACTGGATCCTTTTGAAATAGAATTTGGATTCTTACTATGTTTTGAACCATCACTGCCACTTTGGTCGGCATGAATATCATTATATAAGTCTTCAACATATTTAGAAACTGTAGTTGCTATTGAATATACTGACTCAATCTTGTTCTCGTAAGTATCCGTCTTATCATCCAAATGAACATTATTTTCGTAAATTTGTTCTTCCGGTACATTATGTTCCAGTGCATCTTTCGATTTTCTAAACACACATTTCATTACAGTAACTGGTTGTACGTCGGGTTGACGAGTTGGTTGAGTCTTTGGTTGCATATCTGATTGTAATTTACAAGAATATTTATTTCCTAGTACCTGTAAACTCGTTAAATTCTTCGTCTCCTGTTGTAGTATTGTCGATCGAGGGTACACGCATTCAAATTTACCAGTGTCAGCTTTTGGAATCTGAGCGTCATCTAAAACCACTGGAAAAATATGAAATATAACGTTAAGAGTATTCAAAATATTGATATTGGGAATAAAAGGTAGTTTATCGGAAAATGCCCACGCAAAACTAGTTGGTAGACTCCTAGCCCAAATATAATCTCCTTAGAAGATATTAGAGCCGTGAGATGAGTTTTATATAGGTGTAGTCATGGTGTAGTACTAAAATGCTTAGATTCGATTTAATATAAACGGTGTGAACACGAACGCTGTAACGTCAATCAAGACACTGACTCCTAGCCCAAATATAATCTCCTTAGAAGAGATTAGAGCCGTGAGATGAGTTTTATATAGGTGTAGTACTAAAATGCTTAGATTCGATTTAATATAAATGGTGTGAACACGAACGCTGTAACGTCAATCAAGACACTATCTCAAATTATACATTTTAAAGAAGTAAAAGTTATCATCACTTTGAATACAGGGTGTAAATGACTTAAAAAAAACTAAAATGTATACGTTACTTAACACGTTAACTGTCAAATTGAATTTCAATGACAAGAAACGATAACTCGGAATTTTGAGTACATTCTAAAGTAAGGCAAAATATTAATAGTTGTAACTTGTATTATAATTGCTTATTTAATACAGACGATCACATGTGTTCGACGTGGACTTAACGGAATAATTATTTCATCCACCAGCCACGAGAGAATCCCACAATCCTTTTGGGGAATAAACCTACCGAATTACGGCTGTCACCGCTGAAACATGAACTATCATCAAAAATAGGAAAGGTCAAACAGTCGCGACAAAAATGTATTGGCTGTTATAAGAAAAAAGCAAAAACTTTTGGCAGGCAAATAGCACACAACAGGACAAAAAAGTTAAAACCTTCTGTTTAGTCTGTCCCAGAAAGCCGCATTAATGCGTAAAGTCAATGTTCAATATTGATAAATGATGACTTCGTCGTTTATCGATGTTTACATGTTATACAACTAGTTCTATGGTTTCCCATAACAGCATTTCAAATATTCACAAAAGATAAGATGACACTTTATTCACTAAATCTAGTAAAAACGAGAGTGCAGGCGTAAAAGCAAGCCAAAATGATGTGTGTCGTGTAGATCACCATTGTTCGACGCGCTTATACGGAACGTTCACTAGTGGTCACCCTTGTCCAACGTGGCAGTGAACGTGTTAAGTATACAATGAATAAACAAACATTTGTGACTTTTATTACCTCGTAGAACATCTTGCATAATTTCTGAATAAAATTGTGCTGTTAATTTGGTCCTAGGCTTCGGATTAGAACAAGAATTGATTACAATCAACCATGGTGTGTAACTTTTGTCAAGTACAAAATCACAGCCATACAGTCCAAAGCATTTTACTGACCGATCGCAAGACGAAAGACCTTGAGAGCTTAACATAATTTTTATTATTGTATCTTTCATACTAGGGTAAATCACACGGTCCCAAACCGTTGCACGCCCAATCTCTTGTAAGTATTTTTTATACGTATCCAAACTCCACATATGATACTTTGGAATTTTACGGAGTCGGTTAGAAGAATCCTGATTCTTTTTTTGTACTGCGTAATTGTTGAAGTGTATGGATTCGTCAAATGCTTCGAGGCTGTATTTTTGGGAACTCAATTTTAAATAACATTCTTTATACATCCATATTACCAATGGACATGTACTTGTAACTAAATAATATTGTTTTATGACAAATTTCGTTTCATTTATTAACATTGGTTCCTCTGAAAAAAGAAAAACGTAAAGTTGATTTGGTAAAAATGATAAATATCTTGTAATATTGCGTATATAAAAACGTACCAATATACTTTTGAACAACGTATTGCCTGCATCTGTTTGTATGCAACCAATCTTTAATAGCAGTGAAATCTGAAATCATTCTAACTCCTTTTCCCGTACAACCGATGTTTGGTTTCATAACCCAAACATTGTGATAACCCTCGCAGCGCAATAGCGGTCTATTTTCGTGAATTTTTTTCAGCAACAACTTTGCGTAGCCAATGAATATAGGTAATTCGCCGTCGTTTTCATCATGAAATACATCTTTACCAGCAATTAAAATAAAGTATTTACTTATGAAGGAATTCCATTGTCCTGCTGTAGTTTTGCTGTATAAATCAGTGTGTATGTCATTATGTTCTTTCATAAATAAATATTCTTTGCAACGATTTATAGCAAAAATAATCACATTCGTTGAAATATTTCCAGAATCAGTAAAAATAGAAACTTTATTTGCCGTCTTTGCTAGAACCCATTTTAACAAACTTGTACACGCTGTTGTTTTGTAGTCAAGTATGAAATCGTTACACTCGGGGCCTCTGAGTTGCATGTAAATTCTGGGAATATTGAGTTTCGTGACATTCTTATTCTTACATTGGCACAAACCTAGGTTTGTGGTCCACAATGTCTCAAGGTTAAAATGATTTCTGATAGGACCACATTGTATTCTATTCAGATCGTTCCTAATGGCATTAGTCTTGCTGTAACTATTTGTTTCCTTTTCTAAACTGTCACAGTACGTGTTTCCTTTGGAATCCCAAATGAAACTTGCAGGGTACGCTTTAACTAATTTTGATAAAAGTTGTCGCTGTAATTCATCGTCATGTATATTTTTAGAATTATTTTCTTTTCTTGCCGAAATATTTGGAGATATTTTTTCAATCCAACCACGATCGGTCAGAGCTTTTCTCATTATATCCCCATTATTTACGTTAATAGTAAATATCATTTTATTCTTTACAGCTGTTAATGCTTTGATTTTGAGGCCCACATATCGCGTTGTCAACTTGAGGTTACTGCAACAAATACTTACTTACTGCAACAGCATAAAAATGTTAGAACCAACCAGAAAATGATAATTTTTGATCATGTTTTTACTTGAAAAAACTATTTCTCTGTAAAAACTTTTGCTTTTGTGGTCATGACAAGTTGAAATATGCGTACCATGCAGAAAATGTAAATTAAGACATAAAGAGAACATGTGTTTCAAGTCTATATAATATATTTCAACCAAAATTCTAAAAATTGATGACATCTTTGACCCAGAAGCGTGCAGATATGCGAGACATGTAAATACCACTATGCAGCTATGTAAATAAGCAGCTATGTAAATACCACTTTGACCGCCACAAAAGCAAGGTTTCAGAAATATAGCTGCTTTTTTGTACATACTTGCTGGTCAATTAAACTAACCAAAACTGTGAAATCAGAAACATAGCCTTATATTGAAAATTTGTTACATTTATTGTCATCATTAAAAATTTATAAATCGTATTTACTGAATACAGGGAAATTATCGATTCGGTATTATAGATGTGTGCGTATTTTATAATATTTCTTATATTTATACATTCGGTATTTTCATTAAAATTATCCATTTAAAACTAAGATATGCATTTACATTCGACAATAGTTTAAAAATAAATAAATAGATTTAATAATATTTTAACGCTAAATATTAGATAAATTTCAGTGCTTGTAACAAAATCATCCTCATACGTATAATGTCACCTATTTTAATAAGTAATTGTTATTAGTGTATTATAATCTTTATTGTACCTATATCAATTAGACGAAGGGATCTTCAAAATCCGAGCACTTGTCGCTTGTTCTTTAGTATTATGCTTTGAAAATCAAAAATGAATACAAATGTTTAGTGTCAGTTTATAATTCACACTAATGATTAAACATTTTACAGGAATGATATAAAACGATGCCTTTGAATATAAAAGTGGCTACATAACTTCACTTGGAAATATTGTAAGGCATGTTAAACAGGTGCCCAAGCTAGAAGTTAGAGTTGGTGCCGTCGTTAAAAGAACAGCAGATTATGAGATGAAATGTGAATACCAAAGGACTGTGACGGCATGTTTTGAACAGGCATCGAATGCTTACATGTGCAATGCGTGCGCGCTGCACGCACGCAGTAAAGCCTCCTTCACGCACAGCTAGTTGTTGGGCCATGAAAAATTCTCCATTATTTCAAATCGTACGTGCGGCGCATGTAATAGCTACGTAATGCATAAGGCCCTTCGCTCACGGAGCTACTCAAAATTGACGGAACTAATTAGTAATTACAATTACAAACCATTTAGAAACCGTACCTCGCACACGACGCTACTCAAGATCCTAGGTTTAAGTCAGTTCTGTTTATTTCTGCTCACAAAAGCACGCACGGTTGACAGGGGAAAATATTAGAAAAAAGCAAAATGTGGAATGGATCAAGCGAGGATGATGACAACATTGTATTATTAGACTATTATCTGCGAAGACGCCGAAGGAATGTTCGCAGGTTTTGGATTCACCCGTATATTAGAAATAATGTGAACTGCAGATTATCAGTTGCAGCAAGAGAGATGCGTGAAACTGATAATAAATTTGTGGGGTTCTATAGAATGTCCAAAGATAGCTACTTAAATTTGGTACAATTAATAGCTCCTGCTATAAACAAAAATAATACTAACATGCGGGAGTGCGTGAGCGCAGAAGAAAGGATTTTAATAACGTTAAGGTAAGGTTTTTATTTATTATTCGTAAATAACTAATATTGTTATTAAACAGTCCTTTTAAACACAAATTAGTTAGTATTTGATTGTGCACAATCATTATTTGTATTAATTAGAAGTGGTGCAGATTCATAATATGTCAAAATGTGATTGTCATATGCAGGTGTGGCTTGCTGTTCATTTGTTACAGCTGGTGTGGCTTGCTGTTCATTTGTTACAGCTGGTGTGGCTTGCGGTTCATTTAATACAGGCGTAGAAAGAAATACGGTTTGAGTTTCAAAATTGTATGCTGGTGTGGCTCGCTGTGGTGGTGCCAAAGTTCTCGGAGATTCTTCTAAAATATCATCCACTAAAGCCAGCACTCTTCGCTTGAAGGTTCTCGTTTGACTTTCGGACATTGCTTTCATGTCTGGTAATAAGCTTAATAAAAACATTCGTTTAGGATCCTCGTGTTCAGACTTTTTTTCAAGATTAGCCTTTCTGGCTTTGAAGTATTCCATAATACCATCATCGACAGTATCAGGTTTTCTTTTACGGCGATTAGAGCCGATATCAGTACTGGAAGCAAATGATCTGGATGGAGGGCATGACATGGGAGAGAGTGGTTGATTAGATATAGGCGAAGACTCAGGCAGAGGGCATGACATGGGTGATGGGGTGTCTTCGGATGATGATGGCATGTTTTCAGGTGGTAATGCGATGTTCTGTTGTAATATGGATTGCGACATTTGCGACTCATTTGCTTCTTCGTTATCTTCTTGCTCCGTCACTTCCCTATCTGCTGCCAGAGGAAGATTCCCCGATATGGTATTGTTCAGTGCTTTTACGTATGGGATTGTGAATTGCATCGCATCGGTCAAATAATACGGCTTCTTTTTTTTTGAAGAAGACCCACTCGGAGCTGGTTTTATGTGCCGGACGAAAACCGCACGCAAATTTTTCCACTTTTCTTTAGCTTGGCTATCTGAAAAATGATTAACAAATTTATTGTTTTTGCAGGTACTTGGCAAGTGGCGATTCGTTTGTGAATATTGGATACTATTTTGCTAGAGGAGACAATACAGTTGGACATATAGTCGCTGAAACTACAGCTATTATTTGGAATGTTCTAAAGGATATTTATATGCCAATTCCAGATAAAGCTCAATGGAAGAAAATATCAGAGCGATTTAGATTGTTGTGGAATTTGCCTAACTGCATCGGAGCTTTAGATGGGAAACATTGCCGAGTAGAGAAATTCCCTAATTCGGGATCAAGTAATTTTAACTACAAATCCTTTCATTCTATAGTCTTGATGGCATGTTGTGATGCGGACGGGCTATTTACATTAATTGAATGTGGCTACGCTGGGAGAAATTGGTGGAATGGATGGTGGAATATTTCGGGCTTCAGCTATCAAACAGTGGCTAGAAAACGCTGCTAATATACCACGGCCTTCAAGATTACCAAACGACGACAAAGAATTTCCCTACTATTTCGTGGGTGATGAGGCCTTTCCATTATTACGCTATCTGATGAGACCATATCCAAAACGAACTTTGAATAATACAAAAAGAGTGTTTAATTATAGGCTGAGTCGAGGAAGAAAGACTATAGAATGTGCATTTGGAATGATGGCTGAGAAATTTGCCGTTCTAGACAGACCTATACGTTGTCGAGACCCGCAAAAAGTTACAAATATCGTGAAATCTGCATGTATATTGCACTATTACGTACGAAGCAGAGAAGGTATTCAGTACCAACCACAGCAATTTGAAACAACGGACTTCACTCCCGAATCAATACCAGCTCCACAAAATTTGCAAGTAACTCCACTGTCTTCAGCTTATAATCTCAGAGATTATTTGACAAACTATTTTATTACACCGCATGCAGCATTACCGTGGCAATGGAATCATATTTTGTAAAAATAAATAAATAAATACTTACGTGTCAAATTAAATAGTTTTCCCACCTCACTCCAAGCTCTTTCCGTTACATCCTTTCGTGAGTAATCTGACAGTGTATAATTATATAAGCATGGATATTTTTCCACTTTCTGCACAAATTTAATATTTATGGTTTGCTCGCTCATTTTTTACAAAATCACAGAAAACTCTGGTAACCAGTAACGCGGAGACTGGTACGACGCGTCATGCACGATCAGTTGCTGACGCGTTACTAACCGGTTTGTGACTAGTCGCGTCGTGTGCGAACCTCAATGAGAATGTATGGGCGGTGACGCTCAAGCAACTCGTTAGTAATTTACGTTTGTAACTAGTTCTTTTTGAGTAGCTCCGTGAGCGAAGGGCCTAAGTTTCCGGAATGAATAAGAAAAAAATACTATAGTCAGAAATGAATTTATTATTTCTCAAAATATTCTCCATTAGCGTTAATGCACTTTTTCATACGAATGAACCAATTTTGAAAACATTTATACCAACTACTCCGTGACAATCTCTGAAACAGCCTCTTCCGGTGATGAAAATCATTGACGGCGTAACTGGTTCTTAATTTTTGGAAATAAATAAAAGTTACAAGGTGCCAGGTCGGGACTGTACGCTGCCGCCGCGCTGGATGGCTCATAAGGTCAACGTTGATCACCTTCAAAAATTCATTTGTTTGTCTGGCCAGGTGAGAACTGGCATAGTCGTAGTGTAAGATGATACAACGTTTACGGTTATTCTTACGGAGTTTGTCAATAACTTCCGGCAAACAAATACACAACGATTACAACGATTCTCCAAAGCAACAGTAGCCACGTGTCCAGTTTTATTAAAAAAAGAAGCAATCATCCGCTTAGAGGCACTTTGCACGCGCGCTACTTAGGTTGGTTTCGGCTCATCTCGAAAGACCCGTACGCTCGATTGCTGCTTTGTTTTGGGATCGTAACTATAAATCGTTACTATGTCCCATACCAAATTTGACGCCCCTTCATTGAATCTGGTAAGCATGGCAGTGCACCAAGTGACGCGATCCGTTTTTAGAGTCTCAGTCAAATTGTGTGGGATCCACTGAGAGCACAGTTTTTTCAGACCCAAATGTTTGTGTAGTATTGATCGTATTTGACTCATGCCTATGCGGAAAGATGACGGAATCTCATGGTATGTCACATGCCTGTCTGTTTTGATCATACGGTGTCGACACAGCATCAATGTTTTTGTTATTGACAGCAGTGGACGGGTGACGAAATTCGGCACTGAGATTCACACGACCGCGTTTGAATTCTGCAAACCAGCTGTAAATAGTCGTCTTGCATGGTGCTTCATCGCCAAAATCAGTTTGAAGCCGAGCGAAGCTCCGCTGAGCTGTTTAATTTTTTTTTTTGGTAAATTAAACACTTAGTAGTAGAAAATCATACTACGAAAATTTTGACGAGTTCAATCCACGGTGATGTAGACAACCAATTTCTAAAATGACGCCACAGTGTAAAAACAAGTGACAGTCAGATAAAACCAACTGTATTCCACAGCCAAAGAGAACCATTTTCAAATGTTGTAATTACTTTTTAAATATTGTTTATGTAAGTAGCCAGTTCCGGAAACTTATAGTGCGCCCTGTGTATTTTTCAGAAAAATATAATTTTTTCCACATTTGAAATTGACACCTGTCAAAAATTCAAGTTACTAAACGAAAACGATGGAGCCAACAACAAGTGGTGGCGGTGTGGTTTTAAGAGGTTTTTTCGCAGTCGTGAAATCATTTTAAATATCGAATTTCTAAGTGGCTTTTTGCTATACAAGTTTATTTTATAATTCTCGCTAAATAAAACTTCAAAAGATTTTTTTTCAAGAAATTTCCACTGCTTGAAATTTTTCGGTAAATTACCCAACAGCACGCATGGCTTGCATAATACTCGCGCGTTCGGTACGCTTACAGGGCGCTTACGAGTCGCGCGCTTGTAATTCAATTCACTCCTCTCAGTTGCAAGTAGCTTTTGAATATGTCGGACGATAACACGGATGCTTTTATATTGCTGCAGTATCAACTATTTTAGTAACGCGTTTAGTAATAAAAAAAAGAAATGATGACATCCTTAATGGCAGATTGCGTAATACAGAGTATAATAGTACAGAAAAGCGCTGCTGGCGCTGGTGGATTGTCCTATTTGTTGTGCTGTACCTTCCGCTTGGAATGTTCTGTGAGAGATGGTGGAACGAAACAAAATCAGAATGCGAGGCAAAAGAACTATGGAACACTTTAAAATTTAAATTTAAATACGAGTTGCCAGGAACCGTAGAAAGGCGATAAAAAGGTGGGATGACGATGTAAGGAGGTCACACCGTCACTGTACAATGTATTGTTGCTGCACATTAATGATACCTGCTGCTGATGCCCGTATTTTTGAATATGCAGACGTTAGCACAGTGGTATCTAATGTGCTAGAACCTCGTGCCAACACCGAAGACATCCTGTACGCCTGAATACGGTTTCCAATTGAGGAGCTCTAATTTTTACGAGACTAAATATTACTATGGCAACAAACACAAAACAATAAGATATTGCAATTGATATCCGTGCTTTTTTGTGTTAGTTAGACATATGTACGTGTTCTGTTTTACACTTCACACACAACGGACCCTGTGTAAAATTACTGGGGTACTTACTTAACGTACTTCGTGAGTGATGTGTCATTTTCAGCAATTGTCTTCGGTATTTCTGTTGGTTGGTCTTCGTTGAATTTGAGGGACTGACAATTTTCTTTTTTTACTCTACTGGCGCTATAACTGGCACTAACTGGTTTCTGAAAAAACAAAAATGTCATTATGGATATAAAAGTATCACTGGTGCTATTTACAAAAATGACTAAGTAGTGCATTTATAACTTAATTTGTGTTAGCAATGTACTTGTGAAAATAGTTTGCATTCCAAACAAATGCCTACAAGTTAAATTTCGGGCTCTCGCCATATTGTGGAATTTTACTTACTTCCATTGACAAATGAACGATTATGTCAAGTGTTAACAATGGGGCTTGTCTGTCCTTATTTGAATTCAATATAAATACAAAAACTTTCTTCTCGTTTACCCATCCTTAGAATGGTAGGTAAGCTACAGCTAAAGATGCGTTATAATATATAATTATAATATTGTACCTTACAGAATAATTTAAACAATCGTATTCTTATGATAATAGGTGTGAATGGATCACAATAAAGACATTTCGCGCTTTTTGACATTTGAAAGCGGTAAATTTTTTTTGACGGCTTGTATTACGACTGTATTGATAATTTAGTGGACCCCATTGCAATTTGGCATCTAGAATTATAATTCCAATTTCTAAAAGATGCATAATTATTGCTTCTGACTATAATGTCTGTGCACACCTGTTTGCCATTAGGTCATATGTAATTTTAAACAATTTGTTAATTTGTAAATTTAAAAAGCATCCAAACAAATTTAATACCTGGAAATTGCCTTTTCAAAAAATAAACGCGATTTACTGCTAATCTAGAATTTGTAACAAAACATTATTTTAGTCGTAGTCTAACCTGTAATTTGCGATGATACGATGAAATCTTTCTTGGCGCACGTGCTTTTTCACGTATACCTAAAAGGTGAAAATTTGATTTAACACGTTCACAGTCATTCGCCTATCAATAAATGGACGTCGGATCCGCGCTAAAAAGTGTCCGAATCTATAGAGCATTAAATAGCAAACAGAGTATCAATCGCGCGTCAGTCGTCGTTTGGTCGACCGACAGCGCGCTTGTCAAACAGTGTAATAAAAACGAATAAACATTACATATAAATTACAAAAACAATTAAAATAATCAAACACCTAACTGTCCTTATCCGACACATTGCATACGCAAAAGAAAGAAATAGATCAATTACGTAAATTTCAATTGAAACATTTAGAATAAAGAATATATAGAAACGCTTTGATGTTAAATGTTATGTTCTTAGTAATAACTAACAGCATATTATTGTACTCGTTTTACGGCTTGGAGTTGGTTGGGAGTTAGTACCTACCAGAAGTCCAAAAATACATTTGCCCGAAATAACGCTTGCTCGAACTTTTTTAGGTTTTTTAGGAATCTAACACATTGACTTACAAATAAATGGACGACGAGTCTAATACAAAAACCACGAAAAAAATGTCCCAAGTCAACCTATTTAAACGTAGTGACATGTAAAGGAATATGAAAAAGCTAAAACGTTGAATTTAAATTGTAATGTTATCGCAGTACTGTCTAATTTTGCTTGCTTCGCTGTCAGTCGAACAAACGAAGACTAAAGCGTGAATGACGCTCTGTATACGATTTTAACACCCTATAAGTTCGGACACTTTTTAGCGCGGACCCGACGTCCATATAATTGTAAGTCAATGATGTAACACAACAAACCTACGGTAATTTATTGTTCTTTGTGACAAGTAACCAAAATCCCTGAAAGCATAACGGCTATAAATGGGTTTTCGATATTATGAAAATTTTTGAGTTTACGTTTAGTTAGTATTTAGAAATTGGAATCGTTGATATATTTCTTGTAACACGTCATAACTACAAACAAAGAGACACAGTTATTTTAACATTTATATATTTGTATGTATTATCTGTACGACTCTTTATTATTTCTTTAAACTGCCTCCGTGGCCGAACGGTTACCATGTCGGAATGCCACGCAGAGGTCCCAGGTTCGATTCCCGGGCCGGGAGAAATATTTGTATGGCCTACATTTATTTCTCTCGTGAGTTTGGGTGTAATTTGTGGTTGTCTATGTGTGTGTCCATGGCACCCGCGACACAGGGTTTCCCTAGTGCGGGGCTATGTTGAGTGTGTGCGTTATTATTATTATTATTATTATTATTATATCTTTAGTACAAGCTATTTTGGTGTACTGCATACCTGTCAGGAGTGGGGCGGCAAAATTAAGGTCATGTACTCTAAAAAGACGAGATTTTATAGTGAACAGTTGTGTGAGTTTGTGTGAGCTTCCATCGGTAAGAAAATTGTATATTACTAGCACTGATTTAAAAAAACAAAAAAACTTAGCATATCGCAATATATAATATCGCAATGAAAAGAACGCAGAATCTTTTAATACGAAGTCCTAGTGTACAAATGCTGTATTTACCGATATACAATATGACA